TTACACAAATTTTATATCATCAACTGGTATTTTTCGTTCGATTAATCTTATAATACAGGTGATATCGTAATAGTTAGCTTTCTTGTTATTATTTAGGTATGTTCGAGCAAGTTGGTGTCCGCAGAATGGATCGAGTCGCTGTTCACTACAGAAACGTCGCGCATGACTCCACTCGACTTCCGTCTCACTGCCGCCACTCAGTTTCGCCTACTAGCACTGATGTGCTCGGATCAGACAGCGACGATGGATGGCAGTGAAAACTATTTCAAATCAGGACGATTAATTACCTCTCATTTGTTGAGAAAGTCGTCTTTTAACGTCGAGGCAGATACTATCATGGGCAAGTTTCAAGTAAATCTGGAATCAGAAATCACAACCAACAACGCGGCTAAGCTTGTTATGCTAGTCATCGAACAGAGTCAAAATCGCTCTGCTCTACACATAAATATACTTGAGTTTGCTCTGCCAGGTTGGGACTCATTTTACCCAACACCTTATCCTCTTCACAAGAACGCCTCTTTAAGCAATGTAAGTCTTTTGTACTGAAGACTTAACATTAGAAAAACTGAAAAATCGCAGTAGTGTGACGCAAGACTTATCTTTGGGAAGAGGTCTTTCAATGAAGTAAAAAATCATGGACTCTTCTCTTTCTATTCCTGAAAAATAAAGTTTTTTTCGCATCTTTGATAAGGCTCTTCGGTGCTGCCATTCAATGTCATAGTAACAAGAACCTTTAGTTGCTATTTGGACACCAGAGAAAAAAATTTTGAAGACTGTCTATTGGCAAATTTAGTTTTCATCTCTTTTGACACTAGTTCTAGAAATCAATTACTAGGGACTCCAACAATGGAATTTCTTCGCACTGCCTAATGCTCAGAGATGTGAGAATGTGTTGTGTTTATTTGTGTGATAGGGATATATTGTCTTACACTTGTTCTTCATTTGTAAAGCTTTTTATTTACAAACCAATCAAAGTCAAGAATAAGAAATAGCTTCTATACAATGCCTCTTAATTTCCAGTCGTAATATAAGCTCGAGTGTGCCTAAACTATCAAAGGATGCAGAACATCATGACGTTGAGAAGACATCAGGAATAGATTTAAACAGTATATTAGTCCCTACACTGAAAAAAAATGGTACGATACGGAACCAAAAAGGGTACTTTGAACGAAAAAAAGGTTTCGTACATAGTACGGAACCTAAAAAGGTTTCGAATTCGTTTCAATTCTCTGAACCATTTTAGGTTCGGTACAGACCACTACAAAAAACTTGAAAAAGTGTCCTGAGTCAATGACAATCAATCTTGGTCACCCAAAGTTTGGTACGAAACTTTTTGAGGGTTTCGTATTGTCTTCCTAAATGGTTCCGTAATCATAAAAAAGTTTTTGCAGCGTACCGAACCATTTAGGAAGACAATACGAAACCCTCAATAGATTTCGTACAAAACTTTGGGTGACTAAAATTAATTGTCATAGACTCAGGACACTTTTTCAAGTTTTTCGTAGTGGTCTGTACCGAACCTAAAATGGCGCAGAGAATTGAAACGAATTCGAAACCTTTTTAGGTGCCGTACTGTGTACGAAACCTTTTTTTTCGTTCAAAGTACCCTTTTTGGTTTGGTATCGTACCATGTTTTTTTTCAGTGCAGCGCATATTATCATCCGTGCATATTTCCTTTTCGTTTTTTTTTCTTGATTTTCTTTTCTTCTTTCTTTAATTTCCCTTTTCTTATCTCTTCTAGTAACTAGCCGTCCATATATTTTATAATGCACAAAAAAATAATGGTGATGGAACAAAAAAGAAATACAGAAACAAGTTCAACAATTGTTTATTTTATCAAATGTTCACAATAATCACTTTAGTTATTTATACACAATTGCATTCTTGCAATCCACTTTTCGAAGGTTTTCTATATTCTTCTTTATTTATAGAATACATGAACTCACACTTACAGCAACGTATAATGATTCTGAAACACTTCGATCAGTTGGATTTTCTTTAATTAAGTCGAATAACCAAAAGTCACATGGTGAATAAATCTGAAGAATCAGATGAATGTCGTATTATTGTGAGGCCTTTCGAGTCAAGATGATTGAACGCATCTTTATGAATATGTGGTCTTCCATTATCGTGGTGAATGTTCACAAGTAACGTTCATCGACATCGAAAGTCGATCCACTGGGCCCTAGACTGACAGAAGGAAGAGAAGGATGTGCTTCACATGGAGCACCCAGATTCAATGAAGGGACTAGCCTCCCTCCTCAACTATTCGCCGTTCTATACATGCATCTGAAACAACATCATGCTTTATGAGTATAAACCGTTTTCGGGGACTAGAATGGTCATTTGTGCCCCATAAATGGTCGTTTGTGCCATGAAAATGGCCATTCGCACGATGAAAACGGTCATTTGTGCCATTGAAATGATCATTTTTACCACAAAAATGATCATTTGTACCACGGAAATGGTTGTTTATGTCATGAAAATGGCCAGTTGCACCATGAAAATGGTCATTTGTGCCGCAGAAATGGTCATTTGGATAAAAAAAAATGGTGCTTTTCTACGACGGAAACCGTTATTTGTACAGCAAAAATGGTCATTTGTGCCACAAAAACTGGGCATTTGTGCCATAAAAATGGTCATTTGTGCCATGCTTGTTACAGACAGACAGACAGATAGACACACAGACAGACGGACAGGCAGATAGACAGACAGACAGATAGACACACAGACAGACGGACAGACAGATAGACAGACAGACAGATAGACACACAGACAGACGGACAGACAGATAGACAGACAGACAGATAGACACACAGACAGACAGACAGACAGACAGACAGACACAGGTGAATTACGGTTTCTAGACCCTATCCTTTCAGTCTAGGGAATAGAAATGGTCATTTGTGCCATGGAAATGGCCATTTGTGCCATAAAAATGGTCATTTGTGCCGTAAAAATGGTCATTTGTGCCATGGAAATGGCCATTTGTGTCATAAAAATGGTCATTTGTGCCACAGAAATGGTCATTTGTGCCATAGAAATGATCATTTGTGCCATGGAAATGGCCATTTGTGCCATAAAAATGGTCATTTGCGCCATAAAAATGGCCATTTGTGCCATAAAAATGGTCATTTGTGCCATAAAATGGCTATTTGTGCCAAGCGCTTGTTACAGACAGACAGACACAGGTGAATTACGGTTTCTAGACCCTAGCCTTTCAGTCTAGGGAATACCACCAATGCCCTATGAGGGCCTTTGACGTTCGATTTTATCAACGAAAGGCCATAAACAATTTTTTAATGTAATATTGATGATCTATAGCTAGGTCTCGTTTCATACAATGAATGAACACACAACCATTTGACTTAAAAAAGATGGAAAATAAGGTTTTTGAAGCAAACTTATTGGGTCGAACCATAGTAGATGAAGGATCCTCTCTTTTCACTGATGCTGCATTCGATGACTTTCGACCAATTTGCCTATGATAAAACCACGACTCGGACCCAGTTATTATATCATGTAAACGCCATGTTCCTTCTTGAAACTTTGCTGAATTTTGTTTGCATATACAAACACTTTCAGCCTGTTGAAAATTGGTCAGATTCTTGGGTATATAACGAGCGGTAAGTTTTTTCAAGTTTAAGCTATCAGTGATAATTCGTTGAATGGTGCCATCACTTAAACCAATCTGGTCTTGCATCTCTTCAATTGTAATGTAAGGATCATCATTGACAAGAACGCGGACCTGTTCAACATTTTTAGGTGTTAGTACGATAACAGGTCTATCAGGCCGTGCTTCACCTTCAACTTCTTTTCAGCCTTCATGAAACCATTTAGTCCATCTTTTAATTGTTACAAAAGAAGGAGGTTGATCACCACAGACAGAATATAGTACATCAAGAATCACTCCTGCTAGGATATTAATTGCTGTGAGTATTTTAGTATAAAAACGAAAGTTTTCTTAATTCATCTACAACAAATGAATAGTGCTAAAGCTTAATCCTTCTTAGGTGGTCTGTTGCGAGTAGTTTATTAACTCAAAGTGATTACAGACTTAAAGCTGTGCAAGACTGAACTACTCGTCTCAAGTGGCATATGCATCCACTGGAGCTCAGACAGTGAAGAACATTCCAGAAGAGTGTGAGTCAGATTTAAAGTCAGAAATGAAAGAAGTCCATGAAGAGAAACACCAGTACAGGACAGAAAAGAGAAAATCCACTTGAATGACCTGAACATACGGAAAGAAGAGAGAGAGAGAAATAGAGCATGTGTTTTTTAGAAAGAAGAAATGGGAACTAAAGAGAACAGGAAAAGAAAATATGTATGAATGATAATATGCATCATTTGTACCAAATGAAGCTGCACAAAAATAAGTACTTATCGAAATTTCATTATTATATTATTAATTGAATAGTAATCGAATAACATAGAAAAATCGAGCAAAAGGTGCTCTATCTGCTCGTAAAAAAAAAGAAAAATGTTCTAAGTGGTCTATAAAAAAATATGACGTCAGGCTCAAAACTTATGGATTCCTTGAGTAGTTCCGAATGTCTTATAATCGAAAGGAAATAAGATAGGTTGCTTCTGTTTTTCTAATCTAGGGAGTAGTTTTAAAATCTTTTGTTCATGAAACATAATCTAATTCGTCAGATACAGATTTTTCTCAAGTGTTTTTTGACTCTTTTATTGTATCATTGATCGTCTTGAACGTTTTCTTTATTAGAATTGACAAACAGTATCACAAAGTCTTAAATATCTTTATGTACGTTTTCGAAAGTATTTATGAACATTTGATAAAAGTTTTGAACAAAAGATATTGATTTTTTATTAGTTAAAATTGATACACGGTTTTGAAAGTTAATCAATCAACAAGTTTTCATCAAAGTATAGGTCTAGTTTTGGATGTGTGCTGAAATGAATATTTTTAATGAAAACGATCGTTCATTATAAAATGAGTTTTTGGACATTGTTATCATGTTCAAAGGCTTTTCTTTCAAATGTTTATTATTNTTGGATCAGTTGTTAATGCACCATATAATATTGAATTATTACATGCAGCATATAATATATGGCAAAAATATGAAAATGAAACATATCCTGGATCGACAAATGTTGATTATTATGCATTATTTGCATTTGATGCAACATGGGCATTAATCAAATCCTTAGAAAAATTATGTTCATCAAAAATAAATAATTCTTCTTCATGTTTATCATTTCATTCATCTTCATTCTGTTTTGATTCTCGTTTCAATCAATATGATTCATTGTTATCAATACTTGCTAGAACAAATTTTCTTGGTGTATCTGGTTCTATAGAATTTAGTGAGAATGTAACAGATCAAATAAGTGGTTCATATTATTCTTTAAAAAATGTTCAACCATCTGTAGATGGTTTGAATTTTGTATCTGTATTAGAATATTTTGATCCTGGTAATTGGAGAGTACCTATAACAGAAAATGTTATTATATGGCCAGGAAATTCTCTAACACAGCCTGCTGATCGAGCAATTCTTCGAGGTGTAAGTTTACGAGTTGGAATAACGCTGGCAGTTCCATTTACAATGGCTCACAACGTAACAGATGGTAATGGACAAACTACAACACAATATATTGGCTATATACCAGATCTTATTCAGCTTTTAACAGATAAAATTGGTTTTAATGCAACTCTTATATTAGCACCATCAAATCAAACATATACGCAAAACATTCAGTTAGTAAATAACGGTGTTTTTGATATTATCGTTGGTGATGTTACTGTTACTGCTGCAAGAAGAGAAACAGTTAGTTTTTCTCATACTATATTTGATAATTCTTTATCTCTTACGGTGATGAAAACACCCGATGTTAGTATCAATCTATTAGGATTCTTAAAACCATTTTCATCTAAATTATGGGTATTAGCTCTAGGTACTTGTATTTATGCTGGTATTTTAATATGTTTTATAGAAAGAACAGATAATGAAGACTTACAAAATCGATCACTTATATCTCAATTAACAATGAGCATATGGTATTCTTTTGGTAATATAGTTGGATACGGTGTAGAGTTTAACGCAAGTACAGCTGGTGGACGCTTTTTAACTGCTGGTTTATATGTATTAGGTTTAATATTAGTAGCATCATACACTGCTAATTTGGCATCAGATCTGACTATAGCGAAAACACAATTTGTTGTATCAGGACTGGATGATATTAAGAAAGGCAAAGTACCAATGAATCGTATCGGTATTCGCGTCGGCACAGCTAGTGAAGATTATTTTAAAACAGAAATATCTCAAGGAAATCAAAATTATTATCCTTTAAGAACTCGGCAACAATTATACGATAGTCTACTTGCCGGCATTATTGATGTTGCCCTTTCAGATACAGGAGCTGCTNCAAGGTGGACAAAAGGATATGCAGATCAATGAATTATTTAGTTTTTACGCACACGCAATAGTAATAGTGTAAGATTTGAGCGTTGAATTCAATTATTAAAGATCTCCTAAGCCATGCAACTATAATCTTTCTAATTTGCTCACATTAAGAAGTGCGCGTGTGTGGCTCAATGCTACTCATTTACTCAATAGTTAAATATCTGAAAAGGTCATCAGTAATTGAATGCACCCTTTATGTTTGACATTATTGGAAATATTCTTGTACTATTTTAAATTAAATTAATAATGATTACAGCGATGAAAATAATATTTATTGTGTTTTGATTATAGCAGAAAAAATTTCATGTCAATTGTAACCACTAACATATTTTGCACATGAAAAAATTCTAAGTTCATCGATATCGAGTCTTACTGCAAGATTAAGACGAAAAACGAAATTCATACTTATTTAGAACTTTTCAGATGTGTATAAAAAACCTATTTTTCCTATAATATGAATAGAACTGCTTATGAATCAATACTTTGAATAGCTAAAATATAATTCAACATCATAGAAATACTTTCGTTCCTCCCAGTCAGAAACATATTTGAAGAGGTTATTTGGAATGTGAATGTGATTTCTGATATATCAGAGAGTGAAGTGAACATTCAAATTCATATGTAAACACATACATGCGCAGTGCTTCGAGTTTCTTTTCGAGTTCAGAGCATATACACGCTAGTAGTATATTTCATTTTTATTCAGGGAATTGAAATGAAATTCAAAGTCTTCAGATGTTCATACGTAAACCTTTTTGTTCTGAAATCCAGATCTGTTTCTTCAGTAGAAAAAAAATTGCAAAATAACGGAGAATTTATAACATTTCTCGTATAGCCAGATACATTTCTTCAAGTTGAAACATATCGTCAAGTCAATTTATGACTATCTGTTGGTAGTCATCTATGTTTTCAAGACAAACAAAATACAATTGTATTCAGGGAATATAGCTGCGCAAGATTCAAAAGTAATATGTGTAAATAATCACCGAACCTATTTCAGACAAAAAGAACCGTTTCAAAAGTCTTTAACTTTTTGAAAACTATACATATCATCGGACAAATAATGTTCATATCAAGAGTTTATTGACAAATCTAATTGTGAAAAGCAAAGAATTTATTGAAGTTGTCAGGTTCGACTGTGATTTTTCTCTCCGTCCCAAATCAAACACATTCAAATCTGCCTCAACATTTAGCCATAAAGATGTTTTCCGAGAAAACATTCCTCAATCATTTAATTTCTCAAAAATGAAAAACAAAACGTGTCAGTAAAATATGTATTCTATTGAACAAAATAAATGTACATAACACGTTAATATTCAAATACAAAATAAGAAGTTAAAGACGTTTCTACGTTCAAGTACATTTTAGTATACAATCGAATTATATTAGGCATAGTCGACCGTCTCCTTTTTTGATTAGATCATTATATATTGTATGAGAGTGTTATAAAACACTGTTACAATCTCAACTCAATTCTATATTCATCTGTCATACATATGCAAACAAAGTTGTTCGAGTAGATCGTATATCTTCATTGTTGAATGATTTTAGCAAATATTGATTTTACATTGATTGAATAAAACATCGACAGGATGTCGTCTTTCATCATTTTCGAGTCGCATATTGTTTCTTTTAGTGGCTGTGATATATTATCATTTTTGTTTACCGCTGCCTTTGACAACCATTCAAAACCTTCGTAAAGACCATCGCCTGTTGTAGCTACTGTTGCTTGGACGCACCATATCGTGTGGCCAATCAACTTATCCAAACCAAGCTTATCTTGTAATTCAATAGTCGACATTGCATTTGGTAAATCTTGTTTATTAGCTAAGATGAGAAGCGGCTTGTCACGAAGTTCATCTTCATTGATCATCGAATGCAACTGTTCGGAAGCATCATTTATTCGTTCTCGATCGTTTGAATCGACTACAAAAACTATGGCATTGGTGTTTTGATAATAGTGTCGCCACAAAGGTCGGATTTTATCGCGACCACCGACATCCCAAGCTGTGACGCTAAGATTTTTAAATTCAAGTGTTTCAACATTGAAACCAATCGTAGGAATCGTTGTCACGACTTCACCGAGTTTCATCTTATAAAGAACAGTCGTTTTACCTAAAAATATGAAGAAAGCATAAATACTTGACTTAAATAATTAGCAGTAGAAATATCAAAATAGACATACCTGCTGCGTCGAGACCCAACATAAGTATACGAATTTGTTCCTTTCTAGGAAAATAGGACAGCATTCTGGTGAATGATGAACCCATTATTGTATACACTATAAATTCTTTTTCTTATGCTACTCAACACATAAATATGTATGATTATATATATGCGTGCATATATGAATAATATTTTTTGCTTTTACATGTGATGATTCATGATCAAGTAACGTATGTTGTTCTTGCCACGTTGCACGTCAATGTGGCAAAAATTGCACAATCACTATGTAATGTCATCGTTTTTATTTTCCATTCCAAAATTCATCAGCTTTTATTCCATTTCAGAGAGTGCTCATGAGTATAGCTATGGTGATGTTGCAATTCTGGTATGTATGGGTGTAAAAAAAGAAACAGAGCCACATCTATACCCAAAATGAAAGAACTATTAATACCAGAAGTGGTAGAGCTTCAATATGCAACCATTAATTGCATTCGTTTAAAAGAGAACGAAGATCTTTTGTTGGATTTGTCGATGATTCTATTTATGTGAGCAAATAATAAAATCCACTTCAATCACATCCTTTTTCTCTCATTGAAATCAAATATTCGAAGCTTTGTCGCAAGCAAAAACCAAATGTCGATGAAATATTATAATATACCAATTTTCGATAGTCAAGGAGAACAAAACAAGATTTATCTAGAGAAAATTTTTGCGAACTGACATTCTTCAAAATTGATCCTCGACAAAAAAAATCGCGAATATGCCACCCTTAATTTTCTAACAGTACCCTCTTATGACAGTTAGGCTTCGAGCGCATATTATAATGTTCTAGTCAACGAGGTAAAATAAGAATCAGTCATTTTTGAATTCGTTCCGTCAATGTAGATGCTGAGGAAAATTCGATCACTTGAAAGTGACGTTTTTACTCTTGCTTGTTATAACAAATGGTATAAGAATATAAGTGGAAAGAATCCCTTATTTTCTGTTTATTTTTCAAGCAAAAAATCGTGAAAATTGTTTTTTTTTCTTTATTTTTTATTGGCAGAGGCGATTTATAGAAATTCAACAGTTCTGTTGAAAGAATCTTGAGGGTGTGGGTGTGGGCGTGGGTGTGTGTGTGGTGAGCGTACTTTACCTGGATATCCACATCCACACCACATCTACCATACTTCGGCACACCATCCATACCCACACCTACACCCAATACGGGTGTGGTGTTTGAGAGTGGGTGTGGGTGTGGGTATGGATGGTGTGCCGGAGTATGGCAGATGTGGTGTGGATGCGGATATCCAGGTAAAGTACGCTCACCACACCCACACCCACACCCTCCGTCGATTTAACAGTTAGTCTATTCACACATATCATTTGTCATCGGTATTCGACCATTAGAAAACTTCTGCAGAAGAAACCATATGCTGAACTAGCTAGAAATTCGATAACCTGTGGGACGACGTTTTTTAGGCCTAACTCAGTCCATCCAAAGCTTTACACCAACATAGGACGATATTTTGCTCCATGAAGCTGAAACTTATAAGACTGACTACTAACTCCGGTCTTCACAATTGCTGAAAGTTCGATTGCAGATTATTCTTGGTACCTAATTAGATAAAAACTGCTTCAAAAAATATGTTTCGTCTTTGGTCAGAGTATAGTGATTTATGTTTTTTTGTAATCATAACAAATGTCTTCAAACTATCAAATAGTCTGATAANAAACTATAAACAAAAAAGCTAGTAAAAACGCGGAAATTCAGAAAAAATTTTACGGATTTTAACGGGTTCATCGTCCTTAATGCATATTAACGCGTTTTTTTGAAGGTCATGCCTGCCTGGGTAGATGGTAAATTTTCCGATCAAAAATAAATGCTTCAAAAATATTTGAAAAATCCATTATTCAGTTTCGTTTTTTATTCTAATTCAGAATATGATATTAGTTTTGACGAAATTGTTGTTTTTCTAACTGAAATTGGCTAAATATTAAGAAAAAAGCGCAAACTTACTTCGTTTCTTAACTAGCTTGTTTTCCGTCATAATATATTTACTTGACGAGTAAAGTCTTTCTGACGAGATGGGCTATGCGCTGCAACGTTTCCAGTCACATTAGCGTTTAGAAAAGGAACCCTTTATTTCTTTCGTTTATCTTTATTTAATAAAGTAAGACCAGATCACCACCAGTACTGCATGTGCAGATTAAAACGATCTCAGCTTTTAGTAGTCGGTGCTGATTAAATATCTGGTACGGTTCACGCAAGAGTATATGATAAATTTATCTTCGCACCGGAATCTATGATAACTTTTGCATGAAAACAAAAACAAATCTCATACGTATCTGCTTGTTAAATTTCAAATCAAAAGTTGAAAATCATATTGCTGAGTAGGACAAAATACTCTCTCAAGAAATTCTCTATAAAGCATGCTATTTTATAAGTTGCGAATCCAGAAGTTCTTCCGTCTATTTATATTTCATATGTCAAAAGCAATATTTTTCTGCGTCCGTCTCATTTCATACATCAAAGATTCAATATCTTTCAAGAACATGCATTAGCAAATCACAATACAAAGAACATAAATATTTTCAAAATAATCGAAATTAAAAAAATAAATATATTCAACAGATTTTTTTCCTTGATAACCTTGAGCCATATAGTCAAATATGATTGACAAGCATTATTTTTTTATCTAAACGTTACAATAAGAAAAGAAAGAAAAAAAAAGATGCATGTCGACTGGCAACTAATGCATAGATATGAAACGATGCGTGTACAGACAAGGTAGTCGAAAAGGAAGACGTATGTATCGATTTAATATTATATAGAAAGAAGAAAAAGAGACACTACGTTTGTCATTACTTGTGCAACTATCGAGAGATACTGAACTTATTCATATAAGTAATAGGAAATTTTGTTTTTTTTTCTTGTAGCATAAATATTAAAAATGCCACTTCGAACCTATCTATGTAATCGATTTAGCGCTCAAAAATTTCGACTCAATGGTATTCTACCATCAGTTAGCTTGCCATCGAAAGAAAATTTGCAACAGTTTTTTTCCGATCATATCCTTTTTAATGATGACCAACTTCCACCAAAAGTTGATCTTCGACCAGATATGACACCTGTTGAAAACCAATCAAAAATTGGTAGTTGGTAAGAAGACATTTTCAAATAGAAACATCTATCATTTTGATCTTACATATTTCATTTAGCACGGCTAACTCACTTGCAGGTACACAAATAAATGAAATACATTTTTCTTTTTTAGCAACATGTCTTATTATAGGAGCCTACGAATATTTGATGAAAAAAAAGACTGGTTCATATGTCGACATGAGCCGTTTATTTATTTATTATAACGGACGATTTAAGAAGGACCCGAATGCTCCGATAACTGATGCAGGCTGTTCAATGACAAAAGCTATTGAAGCATTAGAAGAGTATGGAACTTGTTTTGAATCAGTTTGGCCGTACAATATATCATCTGTTAATGGAAAACCTTCTGATGAAGCTTATGAACAAGCTAAAGATTATCAAATAAGAGAAGCGTTGAAAATAAACACAAATTTAAGCGAAATGAAAGCATGTCTTGCACAAGGTTTTCCATTTGCATTTGGTTTACGATTGTATAAATCCTTTGATAAAGCTGCTACAACTGGTGTTGTACCGATGCCAAATGAAACTGAACAAGGTCGAACCGAACACGGCAGGTACGAATATAATATCGTTAAAAATAAATCAGTAATCTTGTATATGATTTCCACTATAGACATGCAATGTTAGCTGTCGGCTATAGTGATCAATCAAGAGCATTTATTGTTCGAAATTCATGGGGGGAAAATTGGGTAAATATAATTGTCTCGTTTTAAGTAAATATTTATACTAAGTCTTCTGCTAGGGTGATAAAGGATACTGTTATATTCCCTATGATTATTTGACTAATTCGGATTTATGCTTCGATGTATGGACCATTCGTCAAGTGGAAAATGATGATTTAGGTCATGATTATTGGGATCATGATGATCCGATTGATTACCAAATGAAAGCATTAGATGTTGATGATAATGATGACGATCATGAAATTCAAGAGGTTGATGAAGACGATGAAAGTGATGAAAGCGACTGTGAAAACAGAGGCAGAGGACATGGAAGAGGAAGAGGCAGAGGCAGAGGCAGAGGAAGAAGACAAGGAGGCAGCAGTGCATCAAGCAGCGGTTCAGATGGTTGACCAATGGATGCAACATGGACATCGAAATTAAAGAAAAATGATATTTTTTTCTCATAAACCATGATTATTGAACTCAAAATAAATAAAATAATATTTCACGAACCTTTCATAACAAATGGATTCAACTTTTAAGGTTGATAACAATAATTGTGTGAATGGGAGTGGATATATTCCCTTTGTTAGCTCACACATACTCTCTTTTCTTCATGACTACAATTCTGAACTTGCTTGTATTTCAGCTTGTTTGCATCTATTTCATTTCACGCTATTCTATTCTTGAAAATGTCACCGATTTATCACCGAAACTGCTAGAATGAGCACTATAAAAATTTTCTTTCCAATTACAACATGTCTATCGTACTGCTCATCTAAATTGTAATAAACAATGAAAGCATCTCATGTTTACTCGATTGAAATAAATGGGTGTAGGTGTGGGTGTGAGTATTTTTTCTCCACAGACAACCTCAAACACAAGAGATTACAATTTTCAGATTATATAAACTACAGATAGTATAATTCAAAAAGCTGCGACTATTTTAGTTCGACTCAATAAAGAATATCCTTATGTCAAATCTTTCCTTCATTGATAATTGTTACATTTCAGTAGCTCCAACGAATAATACTTACAATGTGAGCGAAACTTCATATAAGTTTTGAACGTTTTTGCTATGATAAGAGTATAGGTGAGGGGGAGTACGGGTACTGGTTGTACCAACGAAGACTCATTCACACCGATATCTACACCATACAGTAGTTATCCTTCCAACATCAATATCTTCTGAATACGATATCCGTTCGAGCTGAAACTTTCAGTTAATTCATAACGCAGATGTATCTATCTACTATATAAATATAAGCCAAATCAACGAGATCAATTGTGCAACTTT